GGAAATTCCATACGTTTTACTCATTTTTCTTACCTACCCTTTGGAATTTCCGCAGATTTGCTTTAAAATTTGGACCCTCCCATGGAAATTCCTTCATTTTTGGTTCACTTTTGCAGGGGGGCATTGGAAATTCCACATGTCCTCAATAGGGGGGGTGCGGATTAATAATGCGATCAGCCAATATAAAACTTTGCATTGGACGTTAAACTAGGGCCTTACCTTAAAAGCCTATCGGAAGGTCTCTTTAGACTCCTAGTACTATTTATTAAAGTGTTTTTAACACGAGAGTGTATAGTGAAAAACTTGGCGTCCTCTCTCAGTTCATCAACGTCTATGACTATGCTTCTAAGATTCTTCGAAAGATCTAATAGGCCGTGGGCTGTTGTGCGAAAAAGTGCCTAGAAAAGCAATTTCGTGGCACCTTCCTGGGAAATAGATTTTCTGTGGTTCAATTCATATAGTACCATAGATGCTTAATTACCACAAAAAGTTCCCAAGCAAAAACTTGCCCAACACCGAGAAAATGGGTGATCAGTGATTATCCTCTATTAAATTGTATTACAGCAAGAAATTGTAAAATTTTGTATTCAATTACAACAAAAATGACTTACATTATCAGAAAGCCTAAAAAAACCTACATATAAGACATTTAAACAGTTTTTTTATATCTAAAATTGTTTTCGAGTTATACGCAGTCCTTATTGCGAGTTTTTGGTCCAATTTTCACATTTAAAACAGCAATAACTCAAAGACTATTTGAAAAATAAAAACAACTGTTTAAAAGTCTCATATGCGGTTTTTTGTACGCTTTCCAATAATACAAGTCATTTTTATTGTAATTGAATACAGAATTTCCCATTTTTTTGCTGTAATACAATTTAAGAGTGACTGCCTGTAACCATCACGCAAAATTTGAAATCCGCGGCAAACCTTGAAAAATCGATTTCCCTTATACTTTCAAGTTAGCGAGGGTAATGTATCCCAAGAATTGCCTTATAGTTGGTTTGATCAAATAACGCTTTATAACGGAGAAAATTTAAATTATCAAACACCACCAAAAAACGCCCATTACGACAGTTAATTATTACTCAACTTTCGCGGCAGATGGTCGAAAAATAAGAAACGCTAGAGGTACAAACACCCCAAATAATTTGAAAATATTCCATTGTGCACAACATGTGTGACTTTAAGATCAATTGTTCAGTTATAACACAACAATATAATTTTATTCGCTAAACATATATTTCGAGTCGCTCAAAGTATGTCGTACAAAAATATGAATTTTAAAACTGCTTAACCTGTCAGTCGCTTGAAACGTCCATGCTCGATTACTTATATGTTTATCTTTCTAATGGTATAAAAAAATCTTTGGGCAAACGATTTTCATTCACGTGGTAGGTCCTGAAACTTTGGTCAAATTTACTCATTTCTGCGTTCAACAAAATACAAGACGCTAGTGTTTATGTGTGGATTATGAACTCATAAACGAACCTAAAACACATTAAAAACCTTAAATGATGCATTTTGTTAAGGATTCTTACCTGTTAAACTGCTAAACCCAGATTTTCATGAATGTTTTTCAATATACATCGATGTGGTTTATTCGTTTACCGATTCGACCATGCCTGTAAAGCGGCCGTGTCTGCATGCACAGGAGGCCAAATTTTGTAAATATATTTGACATCCGTTATTCCGTACGATGTTTAATTATTTATTCGGTTTATTTACGTGATATCTTGTTCGTTGTATGGCATATCACACATTTTAATACAATTGTTGTAAATTTCAGGTCACTTTAATATTTCAAAGCGCGCTTCCCATGTTTTGTTTTGATTGTAAATACTACATATTACTTATTACATTTCTAAATTTAGAATACTGGGCGGGGTATTGATTAAAAGTTGCGAAATTTATAATAATCTGCCATATTTTCATCTTTTTAATGCCCAACTTTACAGCATAATCAAATAAAGTTCAGTACTTTAGTGCGATATGGAGGTTTGTTGTTCGTTTAAGACGATAATTGGGGGAATATGTGGTTCAGATAGCCGAGATAAAAAAGAAGAAGTGACAGTCATTCCACTAGTTTCCTGTTCAAGAGATATAGCAAAACATTTGGGATTATTGGCGTTTTCTGGACCGGAAAGTGAGGTAGATTTGATCTTGTCTCGAGCTGCGATATTTAAGATACCACAGGATATAAACGACATGACAATATGCCCATTCCATCGCGGGAAACTTGGTTTAGGATGGACAAGAGGAGCTAGTATAAGATGCAGAGTTCCACCTGTTTTGTCACAGCACGGTAACAAAACTAAGAAAAGTTGGCCCAAGGGTGAAAGAGGGTTG